TAAGTAATTCAAGACAAACTTGGCAAAATTCAACAAGTTTGTTCACCAAATACAAGACAAAAAAGACTGAATAAACTGTAGAAAAGCAATTGATATTGACTCTCATAAAAGGGTGCAGGAGTAGATGAAAAGACTGGTTAAGATAATGGAGGAGGTACTGAACTGGGTTGACTAAGAGGATACCTAGCTGCTAGAAAACAGAGGGTCACAGTGAGAGAGGAGGTATCGAGCTGAAGGTCTGTGGCAGGTCCACCGTGGCTCGGTATTGGCACCATTACTGTTTCAGATTAAAATGAATAACCTATCGGAACGAGTGAACATGTACATGACAATGTTTTTCGATGACTCAGGGCAAATGAGGAATATAAAAAACCGAAGATTACAGAAAACAACAAGACTGACCAAACAAATGGTTATTTGAGTTCAACCCCCAACAAGTGTAAAGTCTGCATACCGTACGCTATACGGTACACTCGTGACTCCAACCTGCTGTTTCGCTGGTGTTTCGGTACAATATCCTGGTCTTGGTCTTGGTGGTCTTGGTCTTGGTGGGTCGAGACCTCAAGCGGTCTTGGGACCAACCTATGATTCTCCTCCGGCCTCATTTCTCGTTTTGCAATTGCTGGAGTTGATCATGAAAGTTCATAAGTCCGACCACTGGTGTACTGCATCATTATCCAGGTTTAATTCGCTTTATTAGCGTAGCATTACACAAAATTAAATATGTCAATGAGCCTATCTTCCTAAAACGTTGTTTGTGTAAACCAACAGCGGATAGGCACTCTGTAATGAACAATGATGTAGACAAGTCGTTGCCTTCTGGATTCTGCTCATCTCACATTGATGCTGTGTTTCCTTTTCAGAAGGTATCTTAGTAGCATCCTCGGACCTGTCCTGCTATACCATGATGACTGTCCATTCGTAGAAGTAAGATCTTTTTTTGGGGGACAGAAATAGTGAACTCCATCTAGCCCTCCCTCTCTCTCTCTCTCTCTCTCTCTCTCTCTCTCTCTCTCTCTCTCTCTCTCTCTCTCTCTCTCTCTCTCTCTCTTTCTCTTTCTCTCTCACTCACTCTCTCTCCTCTCTGATTTTGGTTAGTTTGTCTTTAAACTTTCCTTCCTTGAACCCGTCTTTTGTTCGGTTAACAATTATATCCTTTCCAGATGCATACTGGTTTATTTTTTTTGGTTGTCTAATGTGTTGTAGTAAAATATTCTTGTCTGTTATGTTAACGCACGCACACGCTTGCACTCACACGCACACACACCAATACGCACATATACGTGCACGTGCACACATCTGCACACACACACACACACACACACACACACACACACACACACACACACACACACACACACACACACACACACACAAAGTTAGTGTGTGCAGCAAAAGTTAGAACATCATTCAGAAACCTGAGTAAGGGGGGGGGGCATTTAGGGCGCTCTACACTGCCTACGTGAGGCCAGTCTTAGAGTATGCCGCCCCATCATGGAGTCCCCACCTGAAGAAACACACAAGGAAACTGGAAAAGGTTCAGAAGTTTGCATTGAGACTCGTCCAGCGTTACGAGGGATGGATATGAAGAGCGCCTGAAGGAACTGAGCCTTACGACACTATAAAAAACAAGAGAGGAGAGGGGGGGGGGATATGATAGGAAAAAAGGGGAGGGGGGGGGATATGATAGGAACGTATAAAAGTCTCAGGGGGATTGACAGAGTGGACAAAGAAGAATGTTTCACACAGAATAGTAACAGAACGAGGGGACATGGGTAGAAGCTGGAAACTCAGATGAGTCACAGAGATGTTAGGAAGTTTTCTTTTAGGGCGAGAGTAGTGTAAAAATGGAATGCACTTAAGGAACAGGTTGTGGAAGCAAATACTATTCATAATTTTAAAACTAGGTATGATAGGGAAATAGGACCGGAGTCATTGCTGTAAACAACCGATGGCTCGAAAGGCGGGATCCAAGAGTCTATGCTCGGTCCTGCAGACAGAAACAGGTGAGTACACACACACACACACACACACACACACACACACACACACACACACACACACACACACACACACATACACACACACACACACACACACACACACACAGTGCTGGGAAGACGGGACACCACGAGCGTAGCTCTCACCCTGTAACTACACTTAGGTAATTACACACACTCACATACACACACAAACACACACACACAATGAAACACTTCAAGAGTCAGAGAGAAAGACCTGGGGTTGATATCACGTCAGACATATCCCCTGAAGCTCATATCAAGAGGATAACATCAGCGGCATATGCCAGGTTGGCTAACATAAGAACGGCCTTTAGAAACTTGTGTAAGGAATCTTTCAGCACAATATATACCACATATGTCAGACCAATCCTGGAGTATACGGCCCCAGCATGGAGTCCACATCTAGTCAAGCATAAGACTAAACTGGAAAAGGTTCAAAGGTTTGCCACCAGACTAGTACCCGAACTGAGGGGTGAGCTACGAGGAGAAACTACGGGAATAAGACCTCACGTCACTGGGAGACAGGAGAGTTAGAAGGGATATGATCACCACACACAAGATTCTCAGAGGAATTGATAGGGTAGATAAAGAGAAACTTTTTAAACACAAGGGGTACACGCACTGTGGGACACAGGTGGAAACTGAATGCCCAAATGAGCCACAGAGACGTTAGGAAGAATTTTTTCAGTGTCAGAGTAGTAGACAAATGGAATACATTAGGAAGTGATGTGGTGGAGGCTGACTCCATACACAGCTTTAAGTGTAGATATGATAGAGCCCAGTAGGCTCAGGAACCTGTACATTAGTTGATTGACGGTTGAGAAGCTGGATCAAAGAGCCAGAGCTCAACCCTCGCAAGCACAATTAGTTGAGTACAATTAGGTGACTACACACATTCTCACACATAACACCGCCGCCCAATGGAAGAAATACCATAAAATCGTGAGAAACGAGAACGTAGAAATTGGAAGAGTGGACGAGAATAAGAATGACTTGGTAGCCAAAACCATAAGTCGCCCGTGACTGCTTCTTGGATGAGAGATTGAACAATACCAATAAAATGCATAAAGAATAAAAAAGCAGGACTATGGAAACTTCTCTAATCGAAACCTGAGCTGCCAGAGGACCTATAAGAGAACAGACACCATCTTACAAGAGACCGATCGAAGAAGATGTAACCAAGTATGACTATATAACACATAGAACTGATACGAGGACAGGAATCTGGGGACAGAAAGGACGGAAAGGAATGTTGTACAGCCACTCGGACCATCGGGGGGATCCAAACAGCCCCGACCAGGCTGTCACTGTGCCTATCAGTCCAGGTGAGCGGGGGATGACAGCAACAAGAGGCATTGTAACTAACGTCAGGGGCCAGATTCGCCAAAGTACTTACGCAAGCACTTACGAACCTGTACATCTTTTCTCAATCTTTGGTGGCTTTGTTTCCAATTATTAAACAGTTAATGAGCTCCGAAGCACCAGAAGGCTGTTTATAACAATAACAACAGTTGATTGGGAAGTTTTCATGCTTGTAAAATGTTTAATAAATGTAACAAAAGCCGTCAAAGATTAAGGAAAGATGTACACGTTCGTAAGTATTTGCGTAAGTGCTTTCGTGAATCTGGCCCCTGATTCAAAAAGAGGGATTAAACGTAGGTTAGTACAACTTGAGCACTATTAGGTGAGAGAGAGAGAATTATCAGGGGAAAGCGCCAAGCCATTACAACTATAAAGCTATAAAGGAAGGGATCAGGATAAGGATTTGGGATGGGACGGGGAGAAGGAATGGTGTCTAACCACTTGGACGGTCAGGGATTGAACGCCGACCTGCATGAAGCGAGACGAGCATAGCTATGGGGAAGTAATTGAAAGTGGGCAAGAACAACTAGAGAAGTAAAAGTAGGAGAATACAACTAGCTTAGTTAAACTAGGTGTGTACTTCAAGGTGTTATGGATTCAGAGGAGGGAAAAGCCTTGTCTCTTTAATGTTCTGTGTCAAGATAACGGCTATACAACGGTAGTAAGAAGCTGTCTTTTCCTTAGATATCAGAAAATTGTTGACACCATCTAAGACAGATCTTCGTGAGAGCTCGAGAAACATGTTAGGACCTTTGAAGGGAGTATTTCCTAGAGAGAAGAAAAGGAGCCACAATGAGAGGAGAGAT